GAGTCTAGACAGATGATACAGGCAGAGGAGGTAACCTTCGAGGCTCTCTCTTATTAATAAAACACTCTGACATCAGAGGGAGGCTGAGGCGTACCGATAACATTGAGTTTTTGTTTCATGGGTAAGCCGAGCCAAGCGCGGTCTGCGAGCCCCCGTCCGGCCTTTCAGCAGCTTGGCCTGTCAGGCTGATGTATGGGAGAACGCTGGTGTGCAGCTCCCCGAGGACCAGGCCTGTCTGCTAACTGGGACACGACTGACAGTGAACCACAGCAAACACGCACTGCCCCCTCCGCCACCACGCTGCCTCCATGATGCTCAGCCCTGCCCTGAGTATATCACACACACTGGAAGACTGTCAGTGCAGGACTCACCATTTTAAGAAAATATATAACTCACAGGTAATACATCAAGACCTGCTGACTGCAGTTAGGAAGAAATTTACCACAGGTGCAAGACTTTTTATCTCTTTTTTTATGTATAGACATACTTCTTGACTGTACAAAGATCTTGTCAGGAGTCTGTGTTCAACACAATATAAATCATCTGTGGATGCCTGTGTGCTGAATTCAGGATGAATATTTCTAAATTGAGAACCAAAACATCACCTTTATCCATCACTGATCCTCCTGTTGTTATTATAGACATGTTTCTGTAAACCAACAGCGATTCCTTGAGTGTATTTTCTTTAAAGAGAGCACTGAGGTTTCCCTGTGAGACATCTCCTGGCTCCTGCTCAGACTGGAGCAGCACCATGGTGATGCATACAGAAATGTCCACTCATTAGCAGAGTCCCACACAACAGCTGCTCTGTGACGAAGGAACAGCCACCTCGTCTCCTGGCCCTTTGTCCATACTAAACATCTCTGACCCACGCAAGGAGCCTGGACAGCGACACACACAAACACACACTCATACCTTATCCTGACCAGCCACAAATCCTCCCCCCCCCTCTTTTCTCTGACACACACACATTTCCATATCCCAAACCTCATTAAATTCTTATCCCCTTCCCCACCTCGTGGCACCATAATAGGCTCCCCTGCCCCCCTCTCCCCTCTCACACTAATAAAATATATCATCGGGACTCCATTTATCATAATGCAGATGCCCTTGGGTAACCGGAGGGGAGCGGGGAGGGGGGGTTCAGAGGATGAGAGGGATGCTGGGGGTGTCAGGTGATGGTTAGAGGCTTCACTGTCACCTTTTTTTAGATATAGATGGAGTGAGTGAGGCTCTATATGAGGTGTTTCACAGGACAGACAGAAAGATGTGATGTGCATTTACATTATGCCTCTGTTGGGGTGGGGTGGGGGGGACTAATAAGACTGGCAACACTTCACTTGGAAAAGATACAAACGATCAATCAAAGGAGACAGTGGCAGGCCTAATGAGAAGGAAGCCTCCTGAAAATTAGTGATAATTAATGCAGATGCTGTAGTAGGCCCGAGGCTGTTGAAATATCCACAGTAACAAACAGAACACCTCAAAGACAATATAAGTGATGGTTAATAACAAGGTGAAACAGAACAAACTTACTCTGCACGATATACTGGACCGCTTGCCCATCAGATCATATTTTCCTTTTAACTCTTTAAGCAGCTGTTCCAGGTGACTCTTCTCCTCCTTCCCGGTGTAGTCCGGGTCTAAGAGCACATAAGCCCGCCAGTTGGCGGAGTCGAATCCCCAGTGGACAGTCCGGTTCTCGAGTCTCTTGTGACTGTGGACCACAAACTTGTGAGGTGGGAACATGAGTCTGCAGTCCATGCACTGGATACAGGCGGCGCTCGGACCGGCGTACAGTTCCGGGACAAACAAGCCTTTACACCGACCGAAACATTCATGATAGACTTTGAAGCTCTTCTCGGTTCGCTCCAACTCCAGGGAGCCTAACTCCTTGTTGCAGTGGGGAGGATAAGTTCCGCCGTAGATGAGAGCGTTGCAGAGGCGCTCAGCATCCGTCTGAGTGATCAGCCCGCAGGACGGAGCCGAGAAGGGCAGGATGCCCACCACTTTAAGGATCTCCAGCTGGTCCGCCGTGCACCGGGAGCAGTAGATGTGTAGGTCGTCGCACACCGAGTTGATCTGCTGGAGGGAAAAATCTCTCAGGACGCTGTTGAGGATCTGCGGCAGGCAGAGACGCTTCTCGCCGCCGACCACGAAGCAGGAGATGGGCTCCCGCTCCAAGACCGTCTCGCACCTCTCCGTGGAGCGGTCGGACGGGATGAAAAGTGGACCGGACATTACCGGAGGTGTCTGAGTCGGCAGGGTGAGCATCATCTCCGCCGATTTCCCATCTTTGCCGAAGAGTGAGTCCTGGTGCCACCGAGCGGAGAACGCCGCCGGTCCGCCGAGCGAGCGCATGGAACTCAGATGAAACTGCTTCAGAGTTTGCTGAAGTCCGGGATGGGGCTGGAAGCTCGTGCCCTCCATGTTGTTGCCGGTTAGAAAAGAGATTTCAAAACTCAAAATGAAAGCAGAAATTGACTTATTGGATCGGGCGTCCTCAGCATCCGGCTACACGCTTAATAACGCGCATTTCCATGTCACCGGAGAAGCTTCCCAGCGCGTCCATTCAGAAAACTGAAGGCTGCTGAATTCACGGGGGCTGTTCCTGTAGACAGACGCAATTAAAGTCGACAACTCCTAGACTCAAAACTCGTATTATCCAACGCACAATCACTGGGTACTGTGTTTCTATGCGCTCCTGCGGTTTTACGCACTCCTAATGTGCGCTCGAAATATGCCTCGTCTGCTCAGTCTGGCGTACTCTCAGTCTGTCTCCCCACTCACTCAATGTGTGAGTCTCTCTCTCTCTCTCTCTCTCTCTCTCTCTCTCGCTCGCTCTCCCTCTCTCGCTCTCTCTCTCTCTCGCCCTCTCTGTTTGTTTGTGTCTGGTTCAGTCATTGAATCCCAGCCAGGAATGTGACTGACTCCCCGGGCTGGCTCTTCCCTCAGCCAGCTGTTCCTCCCTCTGCTACATGGCAGCTGCACATTAAAAAAAGAAAAAGGGAAAAAAAATCCTTCTGAGCCGAGAGGAGAGGAGGGTGGAGCTAGGATAAATACAGTTGATATTGGAAATATAAGAATAAACTTTAGCGCTTCAAATGTTTGAGGAGCATTTTTTAAAATCTGTCTTTAGAAACTTTAAAAAAAAAATGTAAATTCAAAATGAGATGCTCTAGGTTATACTGTATATTTGTCTGTGTGCTAATGAAGGTCAACCTGAAAAAGTAGAATCATGCGGCGGTGGAAGATAACTAAGCACATGAATAGTCAAGTACTGTACTTAAGTACATATTTGAGGTACTTTACTCGAGTATTTCCACTTTATGCTGTACTTTACATTTCAGAGGAACATTTTTTTTTATTCACACAACTTTAGTTACAAGTTACAGATTAAGACAGAACAAATGATCAATTATTAAATACAGTTCAAAACTATAGATTAAATTACTCAATAGTATATCAATCAAATTAGCTCCACCTCGACAAACTACAGCAGTAAAGTACCACTTACACAATAATGCATCGCTTAGATGGCCCAATATTATAATGTGTAATAGTCGATCACTCACAGGGGGATTTTCTGCACTGAATTCTTTTACTTTTTATATTTTAATTTTGCCGATAATATTTTTCCTAAGTAACATTTTCAATGCAGTACATTTACGTTTAAATTTACTTTGACCACAATCTTAATAAGCATTGACCCAAATCCGGATCTTAAACTGTCAGAGGAATAAAGTTTTGTTCTTACATTCACTAGGTAGGCTATATATACTATAGATAACCATTTTACACTTAGATTACTTATATGGATCCACAGAGTACAAATATTTCAGCATTCCCTATACAATCTTGTGTCTGATATTCTTTTATTTATTCATTTTACTTTCTAAAAAAACAGGAACTTTCCGTATGTGGATCAAAATGGACCATTTTAAATTTCTTTGTAAATTTATAATTACCCCCTTAGGAACGTCATTACTTTCAAACTTGATGAATTTCTTACCTCAGAAAAAAGTTAAAATAAGTAAAAACCTGTGTAAACTGCTAACTGTCTATGCTAGGCAGTCATATATATAATATATATATATAGTTGTATTGTGTTTTTAATAATTGTGTAATCACAAATAGTATTATTTCTATAATATAACTTTCAACAGTTCTGGTTTGAAATTTAAATAGATTTGGAAAAAAGTATGAAATGTGTACAATTATTAATATTAATATATTATTAATAAGATTGCAATGAGCTCTGCATACAAGGGTTGAATATCACTCTCAACAACTATAAACTCCACATTAATATCACACCTAAAGCCAATATAATACAACTCGATAGTGAGAAATTAACTGAAATTAATCTAAAGGCTCATTAATATACTTTAACCCCCACTCTAACCCCACTCTAGCCCCACTATATAACAGCAGTTATTTTACACTCTGCACTACTATTTTCTTGTTCTTATTAATTCTTTATATATAACCTGTTTAGATGAAATAACATTGAGGCATTTGTACAGGTTTGAATTATCCTTTAGTTATTTTTCTTACCTTTTCCTAACCACTGGAGGGTGCTATATATTAACCAATGAACACTCATACAGCGGGAAGTTGATGCAAAAAATAGGGAGTCTGTCAGGGTGACAAAAATAAAGAAAATAAACATCTACAGTTGGATTTTATTAACTGCAAGTACAAAGACAATATTTATCTCTTAAAATAAATACAGCTCGATCAAAGCATGTAAACAAAGCAAATCATCAGAAAATGAATCAATAACTTAATTGTGTGTGGCAACAGCAGGTCTTCAGAGGTGATACAGTGGCTTTTGGTTTAGTTTGTATTTAGTAGCTCAACCTGCTTTTACTGATTTTGGCATCTATAGGATGATGTTTGAGGAATAAACACTAGACTCATATTCAGTGACATTTATGCAACAAAAATATAAAATCCTAAATGAAAAAAAAAACATTTATTCACCACTTTTTTCTCCCTTTTTTTTTTTTTTTACAAATATTACAGCATAGTTTAAACACCTTTAAAAATCTAACGAAGCAAAGCATGTTTAATTGTCACATCCCATGCCATTATACCCAACAGTTTACTTCTGGTTTTACTGTTATGGATTATAACTGACACAGGGCATCATACACATACCATTTCCATTTTCAAGAACCACTTTGTTTAAGACAATAGATTTAAAAACAACTAACAAAAAGCATTCAAAAACAAATAGCTAATGGTCATATATTTTGGCCTCAGTGCATTTTCTTCAGTTACAAATCAGAAAAAGTTTGTTGTAGGTCTAATGACTTTTTGATATTATACCATGATACGCAATACCACATTAAAATCTCCTAAGTAATTAGTTTCCCCCCTTTAACACAACATGTGGTTGAAATCTTTCCACAATTAATTAAACAACTAATCGACTTACAGCAACATGAATTATTCCTGGTAAAGTGAAAAACATTAAAGAGATTGTCTATTATAGCACAAAACTGGCTATTAAATAAAACTGACAGGCTGTCTCATGTTTAATATAAGTTATGGCATGATGTTTAAAACAAAATATCTTTCTTTCAGACAAACTTAATTATGCATTATAACAGAATAAATATGCAAATCACAAGCTTCAGTGATAAAGAGCAATAGATTCACTTGAAATATTCTCATGTCAGGAGTGTGTCTGCACGGCCTCCATCGCGCTGCTCGCAGCCACACTTAACCTACTTTATACCAACCTTGAAAGTGGGTTCTCAAAAGTGTTATCATTAGTCCATTTAACACAGATATTTTTAATCATTGGGAACAGGCAGTAAGTGAGAGACACTACCCTAATTCAGGCATCTTATTGTCATACTGTGGTGGTGGTGTGATGGGTTCAATGGTCACTGGATTCTGTGTGGGGCTGCGGATTTGAAGGCGAAAGTCTCTCAGGTGCAGTTTGTCTGACTTGATCCTCCTCACCCGGAGGGGCCGCAGTAAACGGCTGGCCCGGCTGCTGCTGCGGGTGGGCAGGCTCGGGTTGGATGTGAGGCCAGACGGGTCAGCCTGGGGCTCGGCGGCAGGTTGAGGGGGAGCTGGTGTGGGATCGTTAAGAGGGGTGCCCTCGGTGGGGTTGTTAGTGGGCTCTGCTCCCTCATTTTCCACGGCAGCGATGATGTCTTCGTAGGATGGCAGCTGGGAGGTGCTATCGCGAAGGTTGCTACGGCGGACGGGGTAGTCGCCACTGCCGACGACCTCCTCGTAGCTCGGCACGTTGAATGTGGTTGGGTCTGCAGCTCTGCAAAAAGATGCAAGAAGTCAGTGAAAACAAGACGTGTTAGAAAACAATCAAACTGCAGTAACCTTTTTTTTTGCCACCCTATCTATTGGGCAATCCATCAGGTCGGACCCATATAAGGAATTTCAAATCCTAATCAAAGTGGCTTTAAATATTCCTGTTTGAAAAGTTTAAAATCCCTTAAGGCATTATTGTTTCCACATATTTCAGATTTAAGTTAAACTGGAAATTACAACATCTAAGAAAAAATGATAAAACGGAGACGATTACTCACGGTTCTCCCTGCTGCCCTGCCACATGGTCCATGAGGAGGACTCCTGTTGCTGGTACTGGCTGGTTGCTTCTGTTGCGTGCGTTCCTCTTGCTCCTCACGCCGAGGCAAATGGATAAAAGCAACATGGCTGCTCCAACTCCAACCAGAACCATAGCCACCGTTGAAGACTTGGTGCTGTCCTCCCTATCATCATCGCTCGGGGTCAGTGTGGTGGAGTTACCTGACAGTGTGGTGGCCCCTCCGGAGGACTCTCCGTCCATCGGTATCACAGTCCACACAATCATGACGATACCCAGGGCGATGAGACCCACTCCCAGGGCGCACAGAGCATAGTGAGCGCCTGAACCGCTTCCCTCCGAGCTGGAGGATCTGTTGGGACGGTTGTTGCCGCCGCATATACCCTGACTGGAACACATCCCTGCAGGACAAACTGCAACAGAGAGGACCACCAATACAGTGAGAAGAGAGTAGACATGAGGACACATAAAGCAGAAGCTGTCAAACTGTAATAATCCAACACACACCTGCCTCACTTGTTACTGGTTGCTATGCCAACTCTTGTGGTGAAGTAAGGGCTTGTTTTTTCCTGGTTTGTACCTTCTTTTTTTTCACAAAAGGTTTTTGTTTAGTACACTTACAACTGTTAAAATAGCTTTGAGGGCATTATTTACTGCCATAAAAAGGTGGTGTAATGTTGGTGCCAAACAGAAAGCACAAGGTGCATCAAAGTAAAGTAAGACCTCAACATAATGCGGCTCGAGTAAATACTGAATGATCACAAATAAAAACCTTCTGGGAAAACAGTGAATGGTGCTTTCAAGATTAAGGGAATTAAGGAGTAGCTACAATAATGTTTTGGGCTTAATATACCCAGTAAATAAATACCAAACACCAGCTAATGCTTCAATGGAGCCTCGTGGAAGTTCAGGCAGGCACGGAAGTAGATATACAGTCACGTGTAGGACTGCAAATAATGATTATTTTCAAGATTAAATCAGTCAGTTGTTTTGTCTAGAAAATGGCAGAAAAATGACCATTAAAGTTTTCTAAAGCATAAAAGGTCCCATCTTCAAATGTCTTGTTTTGTCTAACCAACAATCCAAAACCCCCAAAACATTCAGTCATACAGAGAAAAGCAGAAAATCCACACAATGGAGGAGCAGGAACCAACAAATGGTTGCTGTTTTTGCTTGAAAAATGACTCAAATCATTAATCAATTATCAAAATATGTCACATGGTAGTTACATGGTTGCCTGGACCATGAACCTTTCTCTAACACTACACAGTGCATATAAACATCAGATCATCCTTCTGTCTACGTTTCAAGGCTCAAAACACAAATTCAGTTTCAATCTGTACTATAGACGAAACCACTGCCTGCTTCAGCAATACCTTCCTCCCCCGCCCCAGTTTCTGTCCGTGTTACAGCATTTAGTTTACAGCATGAGAAACTTGAATGTGTCTTTCAGCGTGTTCATTCAAACGTGGTATATCTCAGGCTCTGTCGGGGCGGTTGTTATCTCTGTGGCACCGTTTATCAAGCGTGTGCCAGAGAATCACATGTGCAGGCCGCGTCGCCAAACAAAGACGCATTTAATGCAACAAATGTTTCAAAACCTCAACACGAGCGTCCTGACTGATTTTCCACGTCGCGCTTTCGAATTGACGTCTCAAGTCAAATCCGTCTGTGTCTGTGAATAAATGAGTACTTTATGGTTTGTGTGCTCAGGAGGAGGTTGACAAGAAAACCTGGTGAAAACAGGTTATGAGAAAACAAGTGCAGGTGGAGGTCCACACATGTCTTGACATGACAAACAGTAACTTAGAGAGGAATGACTCACACTCAAAGAATGGAGGAGACACAAAAATGCTCACAGTAACGACGATGGTATTTGGCGTGGCATAACGCAATACATGCAAATATATTACTCAGCATTCATTGTGAAATACACAGTAAAACACAACGGAACAGATTGGACCCACACATAAAGGGGGGTAGACATAAAAACAACATAACACCTGTGGAATTTGATGCAATACAACAACCCTGCAAAATGGCTACTTCTGTGTAGTTTACTATATGTTTGTTTGAGGCTGTGTTAGGAAGGTTAGCGCTGGTTATTTGTTAAACCATCATTTTTTAACTGTATTGAACTGTAAGTGTTCATATTATTGTGTCTCTCTTTATGTAATGTATACCCCCAGCACTGGGGACAGTAATTACAGAATGTCTCCATTTTAAAAAAATGAGAAAATAGTCTGAAAACACATATTTTGTTGCAGAAATAAGATTTTGGGGATCCTGACCCACAGCTGCTGTAAAGCATTGCAGACTGTCTCATCTGAAATGTGTCAGCTGAAGTGAGTGGTGTTGAATAAACTAAAGCCACTGTCAAGTGCTTGGAAACATGCACAAATAATGACATCCTGCAGGAAGTATCCATTAAAAAAAAATGGAATGTGGTCATAAAAGCCCTGGATCTGGTCAACACCTGGTTAGCAACAATGTTTGGGTTGTGCTGTGGTGTTCATAAAATGCTACATTGGTAGTAAAGGTGCTGCTGTGCATCAACTACATAGCCTTTATACCACCACACTGTAGTCCCCACAGTCACTTTCCCTTTAGCAAGATGGAGTGGATGCATGTTAAAACTGTTCAAACTAACCACACATATTAGAAATATCTAATATGTGTGGTTAGTTTTGGTTGAAAAAGGTAAGGCCTCCTCTGAGATCAACCTTTACCACGAACAAGGAGAAGATTGAATAACAGCAGAGGCTTGTAGGTGGGTTGTAGGGTCCTCTGTGTTTAATCGGAGCCTTGTGGGCGGGCAATAAGTTTCATAGTGAAGCTCCTGTGAAGGGACAGGTCCTCCCTCTGAGTTCCCTTCCTACTTTAGAAACATGGAGAGCCCCTGGCTGCACACTGGCCGAAGGGAGGGACACACTCTTTTTTTAAAAACACTTTCTTGCGCCGGTATGTTTCACTGGTTTACGTTATAATTCACTCATACAGAAGCATGTGAAGAAGCCTGAATAAGCAGCAATTAGGTTGTGTGATTATAACAGCCAGAGACTGCTTGTTGATGTTTAAACAAAGGACACACCCATGACCCGTCCAGCAGGCCTGGCAACATGCAGAACAGCTCAAGTGGTGTGTGTGTGTGGTGTGTGTGTGCAGCCATTAGTAATGAACACAGAGGGTCAAGCACACTGTGTCATGTTTGTCCTTCCAAAGTGAACAGAATCAAGAAAACAACACAGTGAACGATGCTGTCAACCATATTTTGGCCCTTGATAATGATGGTAATAAGTGGCTGTGGTTCTATATATACTGCAAGTCACTTCTCTGCAGTCCGTTATGTGGTGTGTTTATTTGGTGAGGGAGGAAAAACAGATGCCTAAGTGGTAGGAATAGTGTATTTTATCTGAGATCAAAAACCAATGTGTAACATATGTCACTGGATCCTCCACTGGTTTCACATACCAACTTATCTACCAGTACCTGATCTGATAAAAGCACTCCTCTTTCACACATATAAATCTTGTATCATTAGAATGTAAGTTAACCTGAGGGCAGGGATCGCTGTAGCACTAAAAAACTGGGTGGTTGGACCACTGTGACTTATATGAAATGTGACTAATAGCTGAATTTGACCATTTGACATTGACCTAAGAACACTGAATGGAGTTAGTTTTGTTCGATGTACTTTGCCATCGCTGTGTGAAATGTGTGTGGGAAGGGTGGAAATTGTGGCACGTAGTGTAAAAGCGCTTTGATGGTCGGAAGACAGAAAGGCGCTAATACAAGTACAGGCTCCATTTACCAAAGAGTCTCATACTTTTCAAACTCCCACCATTAATTTACTTGTTAGGGGTATTATGGCTGAATTCAACACATGTTAATATTTCCCCAGTATCGATATATTACAATATGACACATGGTAAGCAATGCAAAATACCTGTACAATCAATTTTTATTGAATTGTTACAAATTTATGTATGTTTTTTTTTGATGGGGTGGCCGTTCTCCAGTCACTCTTGGTTGGCATCATCTCTTCACACTCACAACTGTCCCCCCTTTTTTTAAAAAAAAGGAGCTAAAATGACTTTGAAGCAATCGACAGTGTGATCATATCGTCACTATATGACCTTGAAGGTTGACAGTGATGTCTGACTGCAGCAAGGAATGAAACACCTGCTTCACTATCACAAGGAAATTGACTGTGATTCTGGTGCTACACGTCAATAACATGTTTCCACTGCCAGATCAGAGAACCGGGAAATCAATTATTTGACCGTCCCCAGCAATGACCAAACAAGCTCTGGAGTCTCTTTGAGTCATGATCCGAGCGTTCAGGACCCCCTACGGTATTATTACACTTGTTCTTTCCTTGCTTCATCCCATTGTTTTCTTTGTCAGCTAAATTTCAGGTTGTGTTTTGTGCGAAGGGTTGGACCTTTAACTAAATATAATTTATGCTTCTTGGCAACAGTGCTTTAAAATACTTCATAAAATGTTACAAACATCAGTTCACGTGTCAACATTTGTTCATCTGTTGTGTCTGTCTCGTCCTGAGAAGAGAAGCAGCAGCCTGGTGGCTGGGTAATGATGTGATACAAGAGATTTTTACTGATTCACTTGACTTTTGAATTGATTATGTGTGTAACAGAAACATTTTAGTCATTATTTATTGGACTTCATCTTGTTTTATTTAGAACACTGCACTATTAGCACCCCTGATCCTAGTTACATTACTGAAAATAAAGCCCTGTAGTTATGGAAACACTAAACTCACATTTCTCCACGTATACTGTTTGTTTTGTAACAAAATAAGACTGGAAGGACATATTATACTTGAAAGATATTTATTTATTTATTTATTATTTCTTAGATAAAAACTACAAAATAATTTTTTAAAATCAAAATTATAGAATCTTTTTTTATTTTTGGGTGTAAACTGCAGAAAACAATTCATATATTAATTTGTCCTTTGTAAAAGTGAACTGACGTCTTTGTGGCCTTGATACCCCGACCTAATAATCATTAATTTATTTTTCATCTCAACCCAATTTGAGTTTCCACATATTTTGTATTTGCGTTTATGTATTAACAAACCCTACAAGTAAATTTTGTGCTTGTTTTGTATTAATAGAGGCTTAAATGAATATGATACATTTAAAAAAAAAAAAAAAAGACTCAACGAACAATATTTCCTCGTGGAACACTTCTGCAAAGGTCAAATATTTACACTCAATGTCGCCTCAAATATTTGCCCTAAGGTGTACACTCCACATGTTTCTCCTGTCCTGGCCATTAAAGGGGTGGACAGGTGGAAACAAACTTTAGAGGAGACAAGCCTGCAATAATGAGGCTTGAAATTGTCGGTCCATCACTTTGGACTGGATAGCAGTGAGGTGTCCGTTAT